AGCCAATACCGTCTCCGTCCCTAAAACTCAGTGCCGCAAATGGTGCACCAGTCAAAGTTTTAGGATTTATTTCGTTCGTTGTTCGGTTGGGAGACGTGTCCCGCCGAATCGATGCGTTGGTCGTACCATCGCTCGGTCCTGATCAAATACTCCTAGACAATGAGGCAATGACTCGGTTTGGGGCAGTACTTGACTGGAAAAATGAACGTTTGACTTTTGAGTGTAGTGACACTATTGTCCCCGCTATTCATCGTAAACAATCTCAACATGGTTATGATCCGTCGCCGTCCCCCCGTGTTGCAGCCGTTCATCGAAATGCGGAAGAACACTCAGTCAAATAACGTCAACGTAATAATATTCGCCCTCGTCATGCGATGATCGTAAAAGCATTTACTGAATGCATACCGTCCGTTGATACCGCCGTAGTAGTCGAGCCGCGTATTTTGTCGGCAGATGAACTTTCGTTCGATACTGTTCCGCCCGAATTTGAGCGTTTAATCGTGGCTCGTACCGTCTCAACATGGAGTGCTGTTGATGGTTCGGTAGTTGTCCAAATTGCGAATCCATCAGCTGAGTATCTCGCCGTACATGTTGGATTGGATATTGGAACTTTATCGCCGATTACTATGGTAGCACAGGAACAGCTTCACGTCCATGCTGTTGCCTTGTCTCCAAAAACCGCGAGTGAAATTGCTGCTGCTAAAGCTGAGCTGGGAAAACCGCTGTCGAAAGCGTTCGCAAATTTCACGTTCACTAAGGAACAGCAAACTCGTATTTTGGACCTGAGCGCAAAATATCGTCCCGTTTTTTCGCTGAATCGTAAGGAGCTTGGTAAATGCACAACTGCTCAAGCCACGTTTCCTATGCCGCCTAACACAAAACCGGTTAACCGTCGTCCCTACCGCGCAAACCCGCACACTGAAGCCGTTATCCAAACGTGCGTTAAGGACATGCTTGACGATGACATCATCGAAGAGCTGCCTAGTCAGTGGGGTTCCCCCGTTACTCTCGTCGCGCGTAAAGATGGTAAACCTCGTTTTTGCGTCGATTTCCGAAGCACCGTCAACAAGCACCTCATTCGCAAGACCTGGCCTCTAGCGAACATGGAGTCCAACCTTGACTCTGTCGGCAGCGCCAAGTTCATCAGCGTTGCAGACGTCCAGTCAGCGTACTGGCAGATTCCTGTTCATCCTGACCACGTCGAAAGGACAGCCTTTGTCACCAACTCTGGCAAGTACTGTTACAAGCGGATGCCGTTTGGTGTTTGTAATGCCCCATGGATTTTTACTGAGATGGCCCATAAAACGTTAGGTCATATTCCCGAACTGTTGATTTACATGGATGATTTCTGTGTGCTTTCAGCAACTTTCGAGAATCATATGAAGTCTTTGGAGAGCATGTTCGTAGCTCTCCAAGCAGCAGGTCTGACATTGAAACCTTCGAAGATTTCGTTTGGCCCCAAGTCCATCGAGTATTTGGGACATATTATTTCGGCTGAAGGTATTTCTGTCGGGAAGGATCGTATCAAAGCCGTCCAAAACCTTCCTACTCCTCGTTGCCTGAAAGATCTTCGCTCAGTACTCGGGGTGGTTAATTTTGTGCGCCGGTTCATACCGGATTATGCAGAAATAACCAATCCGTTGGTGGAGTTAACTCGCAAAGAGTACGCCACAAAATCACGTTTCGTAAAAGCTTGGAACAAATCGCACGACGCATCGTTCGCTCATCTAAAGCGGTTATTAACTTCAGCGCCCGTTCTACACTTCCCAGACTTCGATCGGGAATTCGTAGTTCATGTGGATGCATCCGAACATGGGTGTGGCGCGTTTCTTGCCCAGCCGTCCAAGGCTGATCCAGAATCTCTTGACATGATTGCGTATTATAGTCATAGATTCAAACATGGACAGCGTCATTACTCTGCGTCTATGAAAGAGTGTTGCGGTGTGGTTCTTGCAATTTCGCATTGGCGACCGTACTTATTTGGGAAACACTTTACGGTGATCACGGATCATCAAGCGTTGACTCATCTTTTTTATATGCAAGACACCAGCAACATGCTCACTCGTTGGGCTATCGCTCTTCAAAATTATGATTTTACCGTCAAACACGTAGCAGGAAAATTGAACGTCGTACCCGATACGTTATCTCGTTTATTTGGCGAAATCGAGTCCGAAACCATATCACACAAACCGGCCCTAGCGTCGATTTGTAGGAATGTGCCGAGTGATCGTCCGTACCATCCTCCTGGCCCTCGTGACTACGAAATTTCTGCCGATTCGTTGAACGATGTTGATATCGTCCATAACGACAACGAACTGTTTGCTAGTGCTGTATCGTTATTTCCTGTACTGGATCCCGCTAAATTGCGAAGAGAACAGTACAAAGAGTTCGGTCCGTATATCGACTACGTCAAGAAACCCAAAACAGCACCGTTACCGTCTAGCGAAAATAAAGGCACCATGAGTAATTACTTCTTGAATGAGAACGTTTTATTCAGGTCGTACTTACCAGGGTATCTTCGTAAACGCAGTTCGTTTCGTGATCAACTTGTCGTTCCTACCGTTTTGCGTGCGTTAGTCTTGGATTCTTGTCATGATGCTCCTGCGTCAGGGGGTCATCTAGCGTTCAAAGCCACGTACGATAGACTCAGAGATCGCTTTTGGTGGCCGACCATGTCTAGAGATGCGTCCAAACACATCCAGCATTGTTTGTCGTGCCAACACCGAAAAACGTCCCACAGACGACCGTTATTACCTGTGGGTCACCGTCCCGTTACTCGTCCGTTTCAGTGTGTCGCGATCGATCTCGTTGAATATAACTCCGTATCGCAGGGTTGCAAGTACGTCTTGTCGGTCATCGATCACCTGACTCGTTTTCTCGTGTTGATTGCTATTCGTGATAAAAAAGCAACAACAATTGCACAGGCTCTCGTAGAGCGTGTCTTTTCCGTTTTTTCTCCCCCTGAAACGTTACACAGTGATCAGGGCACTGAGTTCGAGAATGAGTTGGTTAAAGAGTTTCAGCCCGTGTTTGGTTTCAAAAAAACTCGGACGTCCGCGTATCGGCGCCAAGGTATTAGAGCGCGTGCACAGCACAATGCATGGCATGCTCGCAATGTATGCAAACGTTCGGTTTGATGATTGGGCTGAGCTTTTACCGTTTGTGCAACTCGCCCATAACACCGCGTACAACCAAACTCTTGAGGAAACTCCTCATTATATGATGTTTGGTCGCCAGGCTTTGCTTCCCGTGGATGTCATTCTTGGTGTACCGTCTCATGATATCTCTGCTTCGCGTATGGAATATTCACGTCTTACCGTGGATAACTTGCAACTCGCGTATGAGATCGCTCGTCGTAATTTGAAAGAGCGAACTGACAAGCAAGCAGACTCGAACGAAAATTTATCCGTACCGCAATTTACTCCTGGGGAACAAGTTCTCGTACATCGTCCGCACACCGTTATGGATGGCCCCAGTCCCAAGCTGATCATCAGCCCTTGGCATGGCCCATTCACCGTTCGTTCAAAAGTCTCACCCGTCATCTATCGTGTTTGCAAAGACTCGCAGAAACGTCAGTACACTTGGGTCGCATAAAAAGGTACTCTGCGTTCAACGTGATTCTGTCCCCGATTTTTCTGAATTGGATGAGTGAAATGTTTTTGGGACAAACCCTTCCAATTCCCGATTTGGATGAGNTCGCGAGCATATGCGTGTCATCGTCATCGGATGCTGCAGCGAGGAGCTAGACAAGTTGCTAGATTTGCCCAGATTGGCTATTTCTGCTCAAACTGTTTCAGGGCGGTATCGCGTCGGGCGGTGGGCTCTGCTGTAGCTTCTGCTCCCCGCTGTAGCTCCACAGCGAGAGACTCCCACAGGATGACCAGGGTAGCGGCTTGAAGCTACAGGCTAGCCCTTCAATTCAAGCTACACAGCAAGCTCCACCTCTCAGTGGTAGTCCGGCTACAGCGTATCGCGCACTCTCGCTCTCAATCAGATGCTACGCTCTCAATCAGGCGAATATGTTGTTGGTGTTGGAAGCACTTCAAAGAGGTACCCAAGGGTCATGAGATGATCTGTTCATATCGAGCGTGCGTTCTTCGTGATAATCCGCACGCCTTTGATCATC